TTTTCTCATCTGACACATGTCAGTTTGGAAGCGACATAAAATTCATATATCACTTCGGAATTGACATATAAATTCCGATCTGACATACAAACACGCTGCCAACTGCTTTTGTGCATAATTAATATCCAATCATGTCAATAATCTTGTGTTACTCTGTCGCTATATGAGGGTGCCACAATTCAAATTTCGTGACAGTATTTCTTACACAACACTTAACATTTAATTATTATTATGTCTTTATCGTTATTCTCTTTTTTAATTACATGGTTTTTGAACGAACAAACAAATCATCATGGTGTTAAATCCAAAAGTTGATCCAGCTGTTGCAACACAGCAAGTAAAGACCATCAAAGAAATGAGCGCGCAGCTCACTTCTCATGCATTTAGCGTGAAAATGATGGGACAGAATGCAAAGAAATATAAAACAGACTGCCTATCCTTTGGCAATAGAATCCAGCTGTCGGCCGAGCGGGCGGCTAACTTTGCAAAAAAGCTTGGAGAAGACCCACCAGAGATTGTTGCTATGAAATATGATTTGCAGTCCGCTATAGACGAATTAGAGAAATCTAGACGTAAGCTACTCAATTCCGCATTGTCAGCCGGATAGCTTATCGTTCTCAATTACTTAAAACTTATTACTAATTGTTGATTTCCTTTGATTGCATAGAAATATTTCAGCAAATTGCAATGTTTGTTCAGCAGAACCAACTTCCACCATTTCCAAATCAAAGACCCAATCCAGCCGAAGACTTTCGTATTCAACAATTGCTTGTAGACTATAACCGTCGCCTAGATAATTGTATTGGTAATGTGTCAGTTGCTTTCGCATCACATAAATTACAAAGGTCACTTACACTCGAGGAGGAAGAAGAAGTTCTTAAAACGTTAAAGGGGGACGTGGAAAAAGAATTGACCAGGCTGGAAGAATTGAAAAAATTAAAACAAGTCGGTGGCGATGGTAACGATATGAAGAGTCAATGGTTAAGGTTGGCTGTTGAGCAGCAGCACTTGAGATTTATACCGTTTGATCAGATTAAGGTTAACAACTTTTTGAGACGTGGAGGGTCTGTATAATTAGCTGATCATGTTTACAGTGTTTATCCAAGACTTGTTTATTAATTTATTGAACTTGTTAATAGTTTTGGTGTAGTATATCAAGCCGACTGGGATGATACGCCGATTGTTCTGAAACAGCTTTTTGACCAAAAAGACTTTGTTGAGGAGATCCGTCTTCACAAGAGAGTTCATGATGGAGATTATATTGTTAAATTACATGGAATTACTAAAGATAACGACGGGAACCTGGGCATGATTATGAAATATGCAGCACATGGTAGTCTAAGGGATTACCTAAAGTCGCATGCTAGTCAATTAACGTGGTCTCAGAAAGTTCAGTTAGCTAAACAGATTACCATTGGTTTATCTTTTATTCACAGAGAGAGAATTTTCCATAGAGTATGTCGCAAGTGTCCGATGCTTGAAGTTTTTGTTATGTTGTATATGATAATACTTATGTGTCGTCATTGTAATTTTCAATCATCGAGTTTAGGACTTCCACAGTGTGAGTAAGATAAGCGGAAATCTTTATTAGTTTCAATATCGCTAACTCACTAGAATTCTTTTTTCAGGGCAATATTTTAATTGATGAAAACGGAGGTCCCATGATAACAGATTTTGGTCTTTCCCGAGCCGATCAAATCGTGGTTTCTTCCAAGCGTTCTTCAGACAGTCCAGTATATGGCTTAGTAGCGTACACGGCTCCAGAAAGACTGAAAGATTCCTCACTGCCATTCGATGAAAAATGTGATATTTACTCACTTGGTGTAGTACTCTGGGAGATTGCAACGGGCGAGAAACCATTCAAGGAACAACAAAATGATATGTCGTTGGGGGTGAACATAGTCATGGGTCAAAGAGAGAAGTTTGGAAAAGGTGTGCCTCTGCGGTACAAGGAATTAGTAGAAAGATGTTGGCATGACAGTCCCAACGAAAGGCCTAGCATGAGAGAAATTCAACAAGTGTTGAGCGACTTGTTACGCGATATGAACGACTTGGGGTGTGAAAATATGAGTTGTTTAGAAGAGGATGAAGAGGACGAAATATATATCACGGCAGGATTGGAAAATGTTAACATGTCCGAGAGTAAGAACAAGACTGACACCTCGGATGAATTATCCGGTTCGTCGTCGACCAAATATGTAGGCGCACTAGAAGATTTGACAGAGAATGACGATTCCTATTGTAAGTAGTTTCTCTGCATCATATTTTAAGAACTGCCGCTATCTCGATTGACCAACATTCATGTTTTGTAGATTCGAATGCTTTGGATGTGTTCATTTGACGAATTACAACTCTTTGGATGAGTGCTTGTTATTGGTGACATTGATTTTCAATTCGTGGATCATTACTCTTCTTCTTCTTCTATCGCTCTCTTTATTTGCCTATTGTTCGAAACTAGTTTAATATTACAATCATTGTAAAAAACAGAACAAGTGCTAAAAAAATGATAAAAAAATAATTAGCAAGATGTAACACGGACAACGTCATGCTTTCATGTAATTACGTCGGCATTGTCAAAGTCGATGGAAAAGGTGGTAATACAAGTTTATCTATGATTCCTCATTGGACATCGAGTTCTTTAATTGTTCTAATTTTATCCTGGTAGGCGTTCGAGCCTATGTTGATAAAGAGATTTTCCACACTAAAATGTCGTTATCACAACATGGACATGCTTTCAATGATATAACTACATCTATACACATACCGACATATTGAACCTGATTGCGAGCAAATGCAACCAAGATTAAAGTTTTGAGTTTGCAAGCAATTGTGTTTTAATCGATTAATCAGAATATCGCATAACGTTATACTCGCTTAGTATGCCAGCCTTTTTGGTTTCATTTCGATGCAAAATACAAGAATCCTATATGATGACGATTTTCCACGCATGTTATTGGCAATTAATAATTTTTACGAATCCTCGGTCATTCACAAACTTTTACGGTTTCAGGAAGAGGTCACGAAGCAGACTGTCATACTTCCATCTATTTTTCACATTTTCAGTCATGAAAAACAATTAATCATGGTAGAGGAAGTACGGTTCGCGATGTGTTAAAAATCCCAAACCTCTGAAGGATCTTCTGCCGTGTACAGCATGATTTGTATACAATAAAGGAATTTGTGCGTGTGTGCTTGTTTGTTAGTTAGTTTGTTTATTTGTTAATGAATTATGTTCAAAATCATATGAAACAAACATATACTGAAAAATGAGGCTGCCGGTCAACGTCATCGCACGCTCAATGATGATGATGGTGATAGTGCATTATATCACTAGCAATTAGACTGTCCAAAGTTACTTCATCAACCATATGAAAGGAAGCGTTGTTCCTATAGCAATAATGAGTAGACATGTGAGTTGTGCGAACAAGCTAGGTGTTTTCTCTTATAAACTCTTACTTACTGGTTAAGTTGGTGTGTAATCTTTTGAAGATTCAGCCCAAGATACTGGCTAATGAAATCGCCAATATTGGTATTCTAGATAGTGAGTGAGAGATTGATGTCAGTAACAAAAATCTAATTGAATATATGGCTATAGGGCGTGACCATATATCAATCTTTTCTGACGTTGCCCTGTTTCCAATTAGTCTATTAACAATTCAAACTATAACTTACCTCAACATTTCCACGTAAAGATTCGGTTCCTGCTCCATAGGCATACAAATTAACGTCCAACCCGGAATGTCCATGCGTGGCCCAACCAATTTCCGCGCGTTTGCTGACCATAGTACCCAGATAAAATTCAATCGCAAGCTGTACATTACTTTCCATCAGCCATTTTATTTCTTCTTCAGTTGGATTTTCAATCCCTAATCCGCCAAACAGGATCTTCTCCCTGATGAATCTCTCTTTGTCATTGCCTTCGTAGGCAAGAAGTTCAGTCGAGAGAATGTAAGCGGATTGTTTGACTCGTTTGATGACTTCGGGGATCCAGCGGTACTCGGGGTAAGCTTCAGTATTTTGTCGCGCTAGAGAAAGACCACCTGTCTCGTGATCAGATACTGAGATCATTATAGTGCCCGGATGTGATTTGACATAATCTTTAACAACCGTGATGGTTTCGTGATAAGCAAGGATGTCATGTACGTGTGCGGCCGGGTCGTTGCTAAAATGAGAAATACGAATGAGAAATACAAATGAAAAATGGAAGCGAACTGACATGAAATCAATATCCTATCATAGACTAGACCGGTAGAATACTTACGAATGAGCAGCCATATCTAAGAGCGTTACCAATAACAGAACATTAATATATTATTGTACGTATTTGATAAACCTTCATTTCCACTTACTCACCGATTCGACTTCCTTCAATCATTAAGAAAAACCCTTGGTCGCTACTCTTGGTAGCATGAGTCAATATCTTAAGGGTCTTTGCCGTCATCTCTGCCAAAGACGGTTCAAGTTTACTATCTCGATCAATTTCATAGCTCATATGATCCAGGGTGAACAAGCCCAATAGCGGCAGCTTTTGTTTCGGTTTAAGCTTATCAAACTCCTTCCGACTCTGTATGTACGAGAACCCATTATTGTCTGCCATCTCCAAAACATCTACATCATCCGGGCGACAACTACCGGCGACGTTTTGAGGAAGGAAGAAGCAACGTCCGCCGCCCAAGAGAAGGTCGACTTGACGGCCGAGAACGTAGTCACCGATTTGATGGCGAGCGATGATGTGTTCGAGGTCACGATGTACAACATGAGACGAGAAACAAGCTGGAGTGGCGTGAGTTATGCGAGATGTTACTACAAGGCCCGTGGTGTATCCCAAATGTTTCGCTGCTTCAAGTACAGTGCCGCAAGGAGCCTTTGATGGATCGACTTTTTGCAGGAAATGAGGATGGTGAAAAGTGAATTGATATAAATAGTAAATATGCAAACATGAAACAATCACGGGTCACTTATTTCACCCTGCTTTCGTTACCTGCAATGGCTGCATTATATGATTTCAAAGCGCATGCGAAAGCCGTAGCACCAGCAGCCGAATCAGTAACCAAGCTGTTTGACGACCTAGTCCTAGAGGATCCGACAAGTATCTCATCGAGAGGAGTGGTATAGTTGTAGGGAAGTTTGTTTATGTATTGGTAATAAGAGCGAGCGAACGTTTGTGATGCAGGACCAAATCCATCAGAGATCATGAGGATTACATTTTTTTTGGGACTCGCTAAAGTGATTTATAAAAGAAAAGTAATATAGAGTTAGGAGGAAATCTGATTCGAATTGTGCAGCAATTAGACGTACCTGTCGAGACCTTTGCCGTTGAGTTGGCGAGAATGAAAACGGTTGCGGCAACTAGGGCTGATAGCAGAATGAGAAAGACTCCTTTTCGATTCTATCACGGGAAAACAAAAAAGTTAAAATGAGGTAATACAAATAATAAAAATATTATTTATAGTGTTGTTGGTCATGTGCTTGTCCTACGTCAAAACGGGAAAGCATTTCGTCATCTTAAATTTACCCCTGAAGGCTAAGGCCCATTCTCATAGCACAAGGATTATCCATGGAACAGAATAACAACACCAACCACCAACTACAATCTCACCACGAAAGGAAAAAGACACACACCTGACGTCGCGTATGAACCTTTAAATCTAGCAAGGTCTCGGACTCTTCGTCCTTGATGCTGTCGTATGTAGACCTTGATCGTGCCATTTACTCTGGTCGTTGTCAGATTGCAAGACTATATAGGACTGAGACAAGATCTCGGCTCTTCTTGTCTTTCTTAATTCACACCACAAAAGCTGCTATAAGAGCGTGCGAGAGTTTAGTTTTTACAGTTAGGGAACCAGGGAGACAGGGAAGGGAGGAAACGTGAACAACAAGAGAATGAAAATATTTACAAGCTATTGGGAGAGTTTATGGGTCCTTGGCTGCTTTTATATACAATGTGATCTAAATCAGCTTTGTGTAATAAAGTTGGGATGAATTGATTTATTTAGCATAGTGTTGCCCACACGTGGCGAATTATGACATTGGTTCACAATCCCACATATTATTACATTTAGACTCGATCTAGATTAGACTACGCGATTACTCGGCGACTCTATTAACTATTTGCAAACAGCTTAAATTGGGCTTTAGCGAGCACCTCGTTGTGAATAAAAGTTCCCTCGCGATAGTTAACTATTTCCGACTACATGAAATCACATTGCAGAACGCTAGTCCGAATTTTTGAATTTGCTTTGGACCTTTTTGCGGCTTACCTAATAACATATTTCTTGGTCTTCTACGATCTTCTGTAAACATTTCCCTAATTTGTAGCAATAGATACGATTAGAAATGGAAAAGTCTCAATCTCAAGATGCTGAATAACACGTAAGAATGAACGCATGAGAGTCAGATGACTATCAATAATGTGATAATCATGATGGTTAACAGTACGGTGGATATTTTAAGCCGAAAATTCGGCACTCTTCGGGACAAATCGAATGTAACGTACCCACACACACTGCAGGAGGGTTAGAGATAAGAGATGCTGTACAAATAAACTGTATTTTCCATCTTATGTTTACAAACTTTGATAAAGTCTCACGGTTAACGTGCGTTATCTTTGAACCCACTAAGGTAAGTTGCCGGAACGTATTCGTTAGCCATTGGATGTGAGTCGACAAATGAATTTCGAGTTAGTGAGCTATTCGTAATCAAGATCCTCTGATTGGGAGATGTAGAATCTTTATTTTCGGTTAGTGCGATGATCGTAATAATTCTTCCCCTTTTTAATAATTATAATGAATCAGTTGAAATCGTTGTACGAACAAATGTATATCCAGTCATTGTTAAATTCTCGCTATCTAGGTTTAAAAGTCTAACTTAAAACAGCTGTATTAATGATCTTTATCCAAGCTTGGTTCTTAGATTCGCCAAGTTATCGATTCATCGATGATAAGAGTTTTTGTCACATCATTCTCACGGTAATGTTTGTTCTAACTGTACAATACTGGAATGGCTAATTTCCAATGAACAATAAGAAGAAACGAACAAATGAGAACGCGGATCGATTGTAGTCGATGTAACTCGTAACGTATCGCCCTCAAAATTACCATTCTTACTAACGGAATCCATTAACACTTGCAATCGTGTTACATTATTGCAGAGGAAAACTATATATAAATTTGTTAATGATGTGAGCTTTGAAAATTGTCCATGTTGACAGCAAGTTATTGCAACAAATCCAATCTCATGCGCATGCGTTCATTACACGAATGCCAACTTTCAATTACTGTACAACACACGTTTGCAAGAACGCTAGTGTTTTTATTATAAACGTTAAATGTGTGGATTTGTAATTAAAAAAGGGTGATTGTTTGAACAGTAAAACGCGAACTTTAGAAGTTTGTGACCATGTTCGTTGTACTGTTATGAACTAGTACAGAAGAACCCGCTTGATTATTTAAACCAACTTTTCAGACAAAATCCCCGAAAGATACAGGTTTAAACAAGCATACTAAAAACTAGAGGTCTTATTTTAAGCATGCAAGCCAAAAAAAAGAAAGAAATTGAGGTTAAATGGGTCTGCAACCGTCGAGTTTAGTAATATAAGACATAATTATGTCTTTCCAAAATCGTGGACTTCTATGTTATTTTTCCGAGCAAATTCGTTTTCAGCGTGTTTACTGGGTTTGTCTCGAGTGAATGCTTCAAACTAATGACAAAAATTATCAGCGTACAAATTTTACACGACGAGAATGCCGTTTGGGAAGGTACGAAACGCGTAGCGTATTAAGCACGAAAATAACGTTCGAACATTTACGCGATCGAATTATGACTTAATCCCATATAACCCACCTGTATAATTTACATTGGGAATCATGAGTATAAAATATGTAAGACTCATAGGTGTGGTTTTGCATTATTTTATTCGAGCTGTCAGAATCGATGTGCGGAAACTAGAAAATTAAATGTTCTGAAATTACAACTGGATAGACACTTGTTTTCCCCCTACACATACAGTGCATGCAATATAATAATAAGTCAGAGTTGAATCTCTCCTGTTTGTTATTATCCACTTAACAGTGTGTCCAATAAGTTTATTTGTAATTTGGGTAACCGCTTGCGCAGCCATTCGATTTGGCACTTTCAATAACTCTATTTAAAACGCGGAATTAGATGCAAGTGAAATAGCGCAGTAATAGTACTTATAAAGCCTTCAAAAACAATTGGGAAAAATGGAGAATTCTAACAAGCAGAATACCATAAACATCATGAATAAAAGCGTCTATATGATTTGTCTTAAACAAACAAATGTAATAATAGAATAAAAGTTCCTAATAAAGTCCTGAACAATCTATTTATTAGACTCAAGCTTCAGCGTTATTTTATGTAATCAAGTTCATTTATATAATTTGAAAAAAATGATGGTTGTCGAACTTATACTTCCATAACATCATTTTTCGCTTATTAGTTTTTTCTGGAAGCAATTTGAGCTTTGTTTTTAATTGTGCCGTATTTTACGTAAATTGATTTCATCAGTTTCATCTCAGCCAAGTAAACGTCAATACGTCCTGCAGTTATATGCCACCGAGATGTTGTCAGCTACATTACGATCACAGTACTTTCGGCTCACAAGAGCGAAACGTTCATTTGTGTGACTTGTTCCGTATAATACGTATACTAACATAATATCCGTATGTATATATTCTAAAGACACAAGGCGTCAATTTTATAGCAACTTTGGACTTCTTTTAACTGCTATTTTGAAACAGGGAAGAGAAAAGCGATGATACAATCCAGAAGTAATGAATCATATAGAATGTTCAATTGCTCACGTCTTTGTCTTTATTATCATTACGTAAACCATGCGTTAACTTTAGGGAAGTTCTTCCGTTGGAAATATGTCGGGGAATCGTTGCCAATATTCTACCACTTTGTTATGAAGATCCAAGTCTACATGAGAAATGAAGTTAGTCGACAACGCGGATATGCATAAATGAGTTACTTTCAATCGTAAAGTATACCATACCGAAAGTATCTCCAAAGTTGGTAAAAACAAACTCATTGATACTCAAATCGGTATTGACTCGACCAACAAATTCAACGTAAGTTGTGAGATTACTTGGCTTATAAGGTACGGTTGGGTAAGAATATATTCCAATTAGAAGTGCTTTCTCATTAAATACATATATACCTGTCTTAAGCGAACGGACACTTGTCCTTTGTCGCACGCCTCCACAACGACGGTATGACCAGCTTCCTAGAATGTGTACGCGAGGAAGTAGAGTGTGAGTATAGGCGGCGAGGTATCCCGTTTGCTTACTGCAATCGTCGACTCAACATTAGAACCTGCACCTGTATTACGCGTCCAACTAATCGTACTTTTCGTCCCTTGTACCTATTAAGGAGACCAAAGTTTACTCGTGGTGTTATTACATCCATGTTTTAAAACTCGTGTGTGTAAAGGTGAAGTAAGAGGGAAAATACTCCTCGCGTGTAGATGTTAAGAATGTTTCACAAAATGCATGATTTGCCTCAGGTTACCCCAAAAACCCCATACACGTAAATAGTAACAGAGTGAGAATTTTACTATCTATATTAATATACGACATCTATAGTGGATTGTCGCTTATCACGGTCAAAACTAATAGACATTTATCATTCCTACTCTGATGGGAAGTCAATAATAGCTTAGTAATAAAAGCACATTCCTAAACTGCTTTGCAATATACAATATCAAGGATATTGTTGTACCAGCGAATATTTCAAAGTAAGACTCATGGGAATGTGTCATCAAGGAATGTCGGCAAACGTCTTTACTGTGCTTTTCAGATTCTAAGCTTGCGCTTCCAGCATATAATAATAATGATATTTTTTGTGCCCCTACAAACTCGTGTATCGCTGTAAAACCTCGCACTCGCTATTTATCTTGATACTCAGGAATTAGCTCGAATTCCCAGTAATCGCTTATAGTCTCACCCATTACTACTGGAAGCATAACATGATAAAATGTCAAATTCTTGTTTATTATATATATATGCAGTTCCATCCTCTCAATACGAAATTTGCATGGTATTTCTGAACGTGATAGTGACTTGCAATGACTTTGAGAGCAAACTCTGTGTTAGCCGTTGTTGTGTGATCGCATTCAGCTTGGTAACTTTCGATGGGGACTTTCAATTTTCAACGTTTGAAATGTTGGAGATAAGATAAGGTTTGTGTTACAATATGACAACCTCCAATAATATTATTCCATTTTAAGATTTTTGTTCAACTCAAAATACGAACGACTAGATTTACCCAACGTGAGAATAAACTATATTACATATATCAGGCATAGTCACCGGATTCGCCTTATCTGGCAACACATTAATATTATTGGATCCCACATACTTTCCGCCATCAATAATTACATTTGATCACCACGACGCAGACGAACGATCGTTTATTATTAGTTGAGTATTTTTGGTTGTGGGTTTCTTCTTATTCTGTCAACCCACGTTTATGGAGTCGGCTTCAGATTCCATACCACAAGTCAACGGAGAGTCCGATAAGGCTGTGCCCGAGATAGTGCAGAGACTGGCAAAGCTTATAGCTAATAGCGAAGAATGGCACGAAAATGGACGTAACTTTGTGATAAAGGACACTCATACTCTGGATATGTTAATAAAGAATTTGCCTGACTTTGATGACTCTCTTCAAAAAGCAATTCTAAATAGACTAATTGACCTCGCTGAATATTCTGATATGAACAAGTGGATTTTATTCAAAACAGGGACAACCAGTAAATTACTAAAAACTATGATATGGACTACTCTTCAAAGTCGCTCTGTGATAGAATGTACTATTAGACTGCTCGAGATTGTCTGTGCATACTCGGTCAGAGTATCGGAAATCAAACTCATACTGAACATGATTTGCCACGAGAATGAAACGACTTTTCGCACAAAAGACGCTCGTTGGTATCATGGTCTATTGGTCAAATTGTTATATTCGATTGCGCAGAAAGAGAACACATTGGACTTTTTCTACTACAAAGGCATCGAATCTGGCCTAATATTACAAGACATAGACAAATTTCCCCTAAATGGCTACTCATTTTTCACATGGATCAAATTGGATGACTGCAAACATCAATCAACCAACCAATTGAAAAATCAAACCAAGGATAGCTACTATGCTCCAAGAATATTTTCATTTGCCAAAGACACCGGGGATGGTATAGAGGCTTATTTTGAGAACAATGAGCTACGCTTTCGATGCAGAAAAGGTGAAAATGTTTCAACAGTGGCAATGACGACTTTCAAATTTACTCACAATCGGTGGTATTTTGTCGTAATTTCTCATACCCCGGCTAAACGTGGGTGGAAATCAAGTCCGTCGGAATTAAGAGTTGTCGTCAATGGGTCCATTACGTGGAAGACAAAACTGGATTATCCGGTAGACGCTCCCAACGAATCTTTTAATCGTTGTGCAATTGGGGCATCATTGTCACAAAAAAAGCTTGACAAGAGATCAGATAAAGCAGATACAGCTTTCAAAAGTAGCATGATCGAGAAGTCACTCCGTGGCCAAATGACTGATTTCCATCTAATTGCCGATACCCTTAGCAAAGATCAAATACAATATATTTATGGCCTAGGACGAAATTACCTAACTCCATTATCGTCCGACCAACTGGTTGGTAGCGTATTTGATGCGACCCGTGTGATTTTTAGTTTTCATGTTAAGGCTTCAGACGGGCGAACGTGCTTTAATTTAGCCTCTAAAAATCAAACAACTGGCGGACCGCAGTCGGGTACTCTTTTCGAAACCGAAAAATGTTCAACTTTGAGTTTGCAGAGTGCGTTAAGATCATTAGGTGACATTGAAGTGCTATTCCCTATGATCTCGAGATTCGATCATATGGACATGTCTGCTCATCAGGAACCTTTAGAGTTACAGGAGGATTTTTTCGCGTTAGAAGGTCCTTGTAAAGCCTTCTTTTCTCTTATTACTGCGCTCTTGCAGAACAACATTAGGAGTCAAAATCATATTGTTGAAACACGCGGGATCAAAGTTATTAGCCTATTATTACAACAAGAAGGTCCTAAACATCTTTCTATAACAGCATTCCAGAGTATGGTTGGATTGGCCACTGCGCTTTCATCAAACGAGGAAATTTGCAGAGAAGTCTATAACTGTTTGATATTTGAATTCAGATTATGGATGTATGCTTCGATGGAAATTCAGAAATATTGTGTCCAACTTTTGAAGAACTTTGCAGACTCTCGCAAGCAAATGTCACGTGAGACTTTTGGAGTTCAGTTCTTTCTTGAGGCCCTTGATACGGTGTATTGGTATAAGCAGAACGAAAGATCAGCGCCGCATAAGCACGCAGCAACTGGTGCAACTAGACCTAAAGTTGCACAATTGAAAGAGTTGCGGACTATGGTATTAGGGATTATTCGCGGATATATTAAGGATAATATCACCGAGGACGAAATATCAAGCATTTTTAGAAATGTGTCAGTCAGTGGAGACGATCAACATATCTGTGAGATTCTGGCATTGCTCAGCGATATTATCCAAAGTAATTCGAACAAGAACATTGTTGATAATATTTATTCATGCGGTGGATACGAATTGCTATGTGAACTATTAAAGAGACGTGAGGAGAATATACGCTTATCGTGTATAAATCTTATAATTGTCTTGATCACATGTCAGAGCACACCACCGCAATTTGTGAAGAAGTTACGCTTCGAGGATATGGATCCATTGCTATTAGTCAAGTTATTAGATGGAGCGCCATTAACGTTAGCCATATACAATGCATTGTTAGGGTGGGCAACAGAACAACAGCAACCAAAGTTACTCTATGGCAACGGCGACAGTCAATCATCAAATGCGGTCATTTTTCCGTTGAAGAATATGAAAATTATAGTAGTTATTCTTGCATTACTACAATGTCACGGAATTAAACGTCTAGTACAATGCAAAATACTCGAGGAATTGACATTGATATTCAAGCACAATTCTGCTTATTGTGCTGACTTGGATTGTATATGGTCATGGCAACGATTTCTTGTCCGCATAATTCCTACATTCGGTGGTGAAGAGGAGCATGTCACGAGTTCTGGAGTTAAGGACATTGGCGACTGGGCACTGGACTTTATCGCTTGTGTAATATGGAATCTTTTTGATACCAAGCATCGGGCTGTCAGAGTCATTGAGGAGACAGTAGTCATGATATGGATAAGTGAAAGGCCAGATTGTATGTCTGTCATTCGGGCGCTCTTATCGCAGATATTGTCACGGATAGCGCACGACATTAGGAAGACTTCATTACCGTCTCTAGGAGCAGTGAAGCTGGTAATATACAGCTATACAAAGACGCATCATGCTTAATTAGTTTGATGTCCAATGAATAACGTTTGGATTTTTATTCTCTGCAGGAAAATATAATCAAATTGATTGCGTTAACCGAGGATATACTATTTAATCATCGAGATTTATCTCAATCAGTGATACAGAGGTTACGATCAAATGGACAATCGATTGGATCACCATCCGGGAGTTATTCATCATCATTTCGTTCCGTCTATGGTGAGTTGATATCATCCTGATGGCTGTCAAATATATATGATTGGATTAGTCTAATATATGGATCATTGACAACTTAGAACCTAGTATGTCTTCGCTAAATGCGGCGCGCTTTGAAGACACAGTGTTCCAAAAGTATGAATCAAGCTTACCATTTGCGAGTCCATTGAAACACGACGACATGATATTCCAGAGTGCTAGCAATCCATGGGAAGAAAGTTATTCATTAGCAGAATTATTCCAAGAGATAGTTGATGCACTTGACAAGTCTGACTATTGGAGAACAAAAGCACCAATTAAGAGTGAGCTGGTCAGTCGCATTGATATTGATTCCGAAAAAACGACAACCTATATTAACCAATTTATCCATCAAATAGAAATCTGGCGACATCTGCAGGATTGAACTGCGAGGATGGATAGCTGGAATATCATTGTCTGACAAAGCATTGCGTGACAGCGCACTTGATAATCTGATGAGTTTCGTAGAGAGACATGTAAGAGTACCCGATACTGTGACAGAGGCTGACAGGAAACATTTGAGAGAATTCTATTGTTCGGAAAGTGACATATTTCATCAGCATATTCTGATGTTACTTGGAGAGATACATGAAGCATTCATGTATGTATAAATTGTGCCTATAATATATGTATGCTATGCGCCATATTGATATATGAAGTTGTCTTGTTTTTTGTATATTTCAAATACTAAATCTAAATCTACTTCTTCCTCTACGGCGAACACAGCACGTCGCAGATTGGCAACGGAAGATACGACCAAAAAGTTACATTCGCGTATTACTTTAGTATGCACAAATGTCGTGACTTTCTTGCTCCATTAGGAGACAGTCAGTTTTTCATCGAATCATTAGACTCGGTGTGGCAAGATGGAAAGTTCCGTGCTTCTGCGTTTGTTCAATTCATCAACTCGCGCGATTGGATGATGATACATGATAAATACATCGTACCCGCTATGAAGACTGCCAGCGATGATGAATTCGCATTGGTGTGCAATATTGTTGACAGATTTGCTAAAAGGGTTAATAGTTATATTCACAGGGTATCAAAGGTCGAAGCGATAGTTGCCAAAGCAGAAATGGCATTTGACAGTGAAATATGTGCTATCATACGCGCTTATCGCGAAGAGGAGAATAATCGTATAACGGGCATCGAAATAGATAAAAAGAATGACTATAGGCGAACGCTCAGAACTTGGCTATCTAAATTCCACGACCTGACTCAAGAAAGGGGAGCATGGTCCCAAGGCAAAAATCTAGAGATTCATTGGAAGTTGGACAGAAGAGAGAACTATGCTCGAATGCGACGGAAACTTACCATAAATTATGATTACGACCCTCATAGCGAGGCGAGTGCCAAAAGAGACAAAACTCCAATCGCAATATCTCCCAATAGAACAAAGAACATCAACATACATAAATTGCGAAAATCAGTTGATTTTTTTAAAAGCAACTCCCCGCTTCCTGCTGTCGATCCCTGGGCTTACGCGTGGTCTGCCAACGAGCCACTTATTCACGAAGCAGATACATGGGAAGAAGGTGAAGATGAAGAATGGAATCTGATCGCCGGTGATGAAGTTGTTGAGACTGTCGATCTATCGGCGAACAAGATTATATTCTCAACTGAATGCAATCTCATCGTTGTACTGTCTAGTATCAAGGGTAAAATTGAATTAACAGCAAGCTCATTATCGTTCTTTGTCGATCGGCAAGCCCTACTACAAGAGATTAATAACATCGAACACGGGTCTTTGATTGTGGATTCAGAAATTCTGCGCGACAAAAAGTGGATGATATCAGACATACGTGAAATTCATTTACGAAAGTACATGCTCAGAAGAAGTGCCATAGAATTGTTCTTAACTGATCAGACGAATTACTTTTTCAATTTTCCAGAGGTTAAAGACAGGTCGAAATTATATGCTAAGATAATAGCACTCCGGCCACCAAATATGATAAACCAAGATATCCGGTCTCCGGTTGCCCTGTTCAATAAATCGAATCTAACTCGACGATGGCAGCAACACGAAATATCCAATTTTGAATATCTCATGCACCTAAACAGCATTGCCGGCAGATCATTTAACGATTTGACTCAATATTTTGTTTTTCCATGGATTTTATCTGATTATACCTCGTCTGAAATAGATTTATCTGATCCAAAGGTCTATCGCGATCTATCTAAACCTGTTGGAGCCCTGAATGTAGATAGACTTGCCCAGTTTGTGGATAGGTTCGAGAATTTTGAAGACCCCACTGGACGTGTTAAGCCCTTTCTATATGGAACACACTATTCTAGTGCCGCCACTGTGGCATGTTATTTGATTAGATTGGAGCCATATACGAGTGTACATATCGCATTACAAGGCGGTAAATTCGACCATGCGGACAGGCAGTTTCATTCTATAGCCGGAGCTTGGGACTCGTGTTTGAATGCTAGTGGAGACGTGAGAGAATTGATTCCAGAGTTCTTTTATCTACCAGAGTTTCTGACTAATCATAATAATTTTGATCTCGGGGTTTGTAAATATTGTATATGCGTGCATTAACAGTTTATATATGAATGGCCTTCTTACGGTATTAATGTTATTATCGTTACTAGGTTCGACAAGATGGTCAGCGTCTCAATGAAGTTGTGCTGCCCAAATGGGCAAAGACACCTGAAGAATTTATTCGAATTCACAGAGAAGCGCTAGAGTCTGATTATGTATCCGAGAACTTGCATCATTGGATAGGTAACGGGAACTGGCAACCATATTTAATAGCTCTGAAATATCGACGTAACAAGACCAATATATATCTAACATTGTATTCTGATGAACAGATTTAATTTTCGGCTACAAGCAAACGGGTGAAGAGGCCATAAAAGCGCACAATTTATTTTACTACCTAACCTATGAAGGTGGCATAAATATAGATGGCATCCGTGACGAAGCAGAGCGTAAAGCTATTGAACAACAAATATATTACTTTGGACAGACTCCTACCCAACTATTGACGAAACCACATCCCCGACGACATTCCCGAAAAGACTTGTTGAAACGAGACATTCTGACATTCAAGGATAATTGTAATCGATATCTGGTACAATTGATTTCGAAAAGACTGAGATACTTGGCAGTGGCAAATATGGCTGTAGACACTCTTACAACGGCTCCATTGCAACAAATCATCACGATGGATGAAGAAGGCGTGATTGGAAGACATAACATTACATATAACGCTGCCGAAGAGATACCGTTTACGGTTGTTGTTGATCCGATGATAGAGCACAAGACGTAAGGTTTAAAAGTAAATCAGATAATCAATGAAAATGAGTATAATCGTTATTGTCATATCGAACGTTTACGAATAGAAGTTATTATTACCCAAACGCTGACGAAATGCCTTTCCCTATTATAGTCGCTTGATGACACCTTTCTGTTATGATGCCCTAATATCGCCACGCTGTTTCGCAGTCAGCAAGGATGGCAAAGTTCTCATCTCATGTGGCCACTGGAATAACACAGTCAAAATAACTTTAACCGAGACCGGTAAAACGATTGACAGCCTTTCAGGACATGAAGACATTATAACCGCGGTTGGTATGAGTGAAGATGGCAAGACCTTGGTTACCGGATCGAGGAGTTCCAAAGTTCTGTCGTGGGATGTACACGTAACTGGTGATAATGGGTTTCTGTTTATTGATAAGAAAAAACCAGTACATGCTTTTTATGGACATGATGATGAGGTGAGACGATCAATTAGACAGAGGCTGTGAACTTGAGATAGGGAAAATGTGCCTTTTTGATATTAACCGTATCATTATTCTTTAGATTACATGTGTAGCTGCTAATGCCGAACATGACGTTCTGTTGAGCGGCTCTAAGGTAACTTTATATTCTCTCCGCTTATTTTATAGTTATATTTTGGGCGACAATCATTTAATCCTTATAAATGTGTTTAGGATGGAACATGTATCGTCCATTCATTACGAAATGCTCAATATGTTCGTACGCTTTGTCCGTTCGATAATACTGAATCGTCGGTGGAAATCGTTTGTATTAGCAAAGATGCAAATCTTATATTGTATACTGAACATAATGTACGTAAATTCTCGCTTTTGTTTGTACACGAGTTCAGATTATTAACCGAATATCTTTGTATATTTAGGACGAATACTATTTACATACCTACAGCATCAACGGGAAATTACTCAATTACGTTGAAATATCTGGCAAGTTGAATGATATGACAGTATCAACCGAGAGGAATGTGTTACTTACGTCCGATGACAAGGGTCAAATAACCATATATGATGCTCTAAGGTGGGTATATATATATATATATCGGTAACACTGTTGGGGACATTAAACTAGAATACTGATTCCCTCTTTATTTCTCTCACTTCAAAGTCTCAATCTCTACTTTGAATACGACATTCCACTCGTTGGCCGCAGCATAGCCTTGAGTAATAATCAAATTTTTGTGGCGGGAGACGACGGTAAACTCCTAATCATATCTCGCTCACCTCGGATGGAGTCCGTTGATCTGTCTTAAGTCTTTTCTTTTTTTATTTCTTTTTTTTATGTCTTTTTATTTCTTCTGTTTTTGCATTGTGACCGTTTATTTAACTAAAACAACAGTAAACCCACATAAATATTTTCCTCTTTGTTCAATAGGAGACAATGTACCATACTATAAATGGAATAGGAATGTATATTAGTATTTAAGATATACTGTATGATGAGCAAGCATCTGGACATTACTGCATTAGACATTAGTTTACTGTGATTTTCTTTCTGTAGTATATGTGTATTCTATACGAAGACGATCGATTATGTAACAAAATGAACATTCGTAGGTAAAATTAAAGGTAAATTTTTTCAAAAAACAAGGAAAGTCACAAATAACTAAATAAATATACTTTTAAATTCATTTTAATTGTTGTATTTAATAATTATTTCATATGATACTAATTACAAGCGGCTCTTCTCACAGTTTATAGATTTGATAATTAATTAAGATTAGCACTTAATATGAATATACAATGTGCTGTAATCAATTTTTGACTGGTTCAAGTTTTTTTGGTGAAAATTCAATTGAAAAGAAAAAAAAAAAAAAGAGAATTTTCTTTGACTTGTTTATAAAAAGTCCATACTAATAAAAAGTGCAAACAAAGAAATAGCATTCATTGTTCGTAACCGCTTACTCCAAAAAATAACTTATAACTGCACATTTTACATGAAATAATCATCATCATTAATAATCATCAAGTCATTAAATTTCCCATTTCACCATCGGTCAATTTCAAATTAGTTCTCTTCCTCTGATGTATTTGTAAGGAGTACGGCATTACATCAATATTGTTCTGCTAGTAGCCTGCTTCTTGCATCACGGATTGTTGCTGGTAGGTAAGGGCTGTTTTCAAGATCGTATGGGATACTGGAGAAACTATGAAGAATGAAAGGAAAAGCAAAATCTGTGTGTTAGATGCTTTATACATACACTTTAAACAATCATCGTAATATAAAATAAATACTCACCGACGCTTAGGAGGATTGTTTCGATATTTCCACCATTGCATATAGATAATTAAATCAAATGTCAACGTTCCTGATGCTCCCAATATGTAAGGGAATTCCTTGTTGTAATAGTCATCATCCTTGTCTTCGTAGAGAAATATCGACGTAGTATAGGCCAAGTTTCCAAGTGCAGCGAATATGAACATGAATATTGATAAGCCTTCAACTGATTTCCGCTCAAACTACAAACGTGACCAGAACAAATTGTAAACGTTTCATTTCAACAATTTCTTGCTTTCGCTTTCCATCTTTTTTTTTTTCGCGTCATTAAAACTCACATTCTTCCAAATCTGTGGCATCCTGCTAGTCAAATACAAAACCGTACATGTCCAAGCCATGACTCTTCCAATAGAATATTGATAATCTTCCATGAACGTTCCAATGGTATCCAGCCAAGACACCCCCATAGTGTCTCGCTTAGAATGAGATATTATTGAGTGTGATGTTGTAAGACCAGACGAAGTTAGGTAGGATAGAGAACGGAGCGTAAAAAAAAAAACGGCAAATAATGGCATAGTGCTGGTAGGAGGTGAGAAAGAAGAAAAAAAGACATTAATCAGTCAAAATTTTAATCATCAATCTATATAAAATCCATTGATCAATATATAAACAGACTCGTTACCCTCGTTGCCGTGAGGCGGGTTTATTGACGGGAAATGTATTATAATGTCTCCATTTTGGACTTCCCTCTGCCATCAAGACATCATCACATAATATCTCTTCCTCCTGGGTTGAGTAAAAGCGTCTGTAGTAAAGGTACTGGAAAAATAGGCAAAAGTCTACTATACAGAAATATAGAGCTAGATATATCTGAAAAGAATTAACGCGCGATTAGTTGTTTATCGAGATAAAAAGTGACTTTGAATTTTTATAGTTACCTGAAACGGCTGTTGATCTGTCAATACACATCCAATAAAGTTTGCAATATCTCCCAAAAGCCAATTGAATAAAAACGGCAGACTCAATCCATCCGCTGACTTGTTATTATAATTCGCTATGATCTGTCTGGAAAATGGAGGGGGGAAAGGTATCGAATCAGTAAACATTACAGTATCAGCCACTAACGTTAAATCCATTAATGGTTAGCTCCAAATATTCGAGTGTTATCAGTACTAATTATAGGAATAATAATAGCGATCAGAAGTCTGATCGGTAACACACTCACGGAAATTGTGCATTTAGCCAACAAAATATCGATGCGTAACCTTAAAAATGGGAGAGATAAGAGAAGTAGATTTGCAGGTATGACAGTATGACGATGATATGTAATATACATGGAGAGGAGAGAGGAGGAAAAGAAGAGATGTAAGAGACGAGGTTAATTTCTGCTCGGCATAGTTAATGATATTATTAGTTCCACAGTGTCTTGTAGTCGATATTGTTACAAAACAGAACCTCGCACACTTTACTGTTATCTTGTCACAACCCAACCCGACTTCAACTCTGACACTCTACACTCACCCAACACCTCGCTCGTCGTTATTTTCATATTCCAATCAGCACTATGTGTATTATATGTTAGAAAGGTTGCCAACTAAGAGAAAGGGAAAGAAGCAGGCAAGGAGTTGCTTAAGTGACTCCAGATAAGTGACTTCGCCTGGAAGAGAAGTATAGGATAGATATGTAGATATATAGATAGATATGGAGAATAGGAGCGGTATAAGTGTATGTGCGCTTGTAATAATGTGGGGAGACGCTATTTTGAAGAGAACAAGGGAAGGAAGACGGTTGACCGAGGTGAAAAGGAAGGAACGATTGGAAAAAAGGTTGTGGATAAGGGGAAAAAAGTAATGGAAAGCACTCAAATATAAAGTTATTCATTATCATGCCATCATCATGTATAATTTATATAATATCAGATAAATTAAATGAATTAATATAAAAATTAATAGAGTAATTCTATTGTGTTATCATATGAAATGTGGAACTCAAACATATGTTACCTAATTTTACAAATCACATTCTTTTTTTTTTTCGCGAAATTTATTCTTCGTATATTCGCGTTTTTTCCCTTCTTCTTCTCTTCCCCTTACTCTTATCAAGTATCTTTTTTTTTTACTTGCTTACCAGTCTTCCGGCTTTTTCGGTCTTCTGTCTATCGCTAATCAGAAGTTATTTAAGATGTAGGAGACCTCTTGGTAAGTCTAAATGCAACGTGATTATTTGCCTTTCCGAGGATCAATATAAATCATTTAATTGCAAAACTCAATCAACTCTTTATATGTCGCTTTGACTGGCGTTACACTGGATACATACAAAGGGTCAAGTGACAGAACAAAAGTATGTATCCGAAGCCCGAAGCGAAAGCCCTCTATCCTGTTATGTCAAAGTTGAAGAAAAAAAGGCATATCGAGAGATCGATAAGAGCACAAAATGATTGGTAGATATGAAAGATAAGACCCATGTTGTGGATTGTTAATATGCGTCGGAACAACTAGTGCCATTTATTGGTAGTATGATTAGTATGTCAACGAAAAACAGACCCTCGCATTAGACTAACGGCTACATATATAACATAAATACTGTAAGAACGTTCTTATTGTTTAAATCTATGCGTTAGAATAAAAATTAAAATAATATTGCTCATCTTATTGTTCTTATTCAATATAACATGCTTTTCCCTTACTTCCCAAACAACGACCACTAACTCACACACGCCCAGTCTTCTTTGATTCTAACAACAAACAAGCATAAACTATTATTATCTCGGTTGTATAATAAACTATCCCCAAAGATTGGTGAAATAATTGGGGGAGGGAAAGTGCGTCTGCAAGTGACAGAACTTTGCCATACTTTCAAAATGGGCAGAGCACCTTTTTCTCCCGTTTGAAAGTTTAGCCCTTGAGAGGGGGAGGAAAAGGGGGAAAGGAAATGAAAGGAAAGGAAAGGAAAGGAAAAAGGAAAGGGGAAAGGTGGGGGATGAGCTGCCGACCCAAGTCCTGCCGGCCCAAGTCTGCCGGCTTTGCTGTATTGAGCGCTCCACTCGCATACTCTTTAGCTTATGAAACTATACTCATATCCCATTAGAACGCTCTTTTGGGGCAGTAACCACATGATAGCAACAAGGAGGAATGAAATTAAAAAAGAGAGCAATTGTTATGCCGGGATTCAATGAATAGTAATAGCGCCATGTCGTGTGACACTACGTTGAAAGGGGGAAAGTGAACCTTTGCCTTTGTGTGAGTCACAGTCTATTTTATGACTATAATCTGGCCTATATGACAACGCACATCCCACATGAATCTGCATGCAGTGACTGGCACGCGACCTCTCACAATAACGCTTGTTACGTATGACAATTACGTCGATGTTATTATACTTTACATTAAAGATTTAGCAAGCATGCTTTTTGACGTCACTAATTCATTAAAACAATGCTCCACAACAGCCAATCGGTGGGAATAAATTCTCCAATATTAATAGAAATGCAATTGCGTCAACAATCGTATTAATGCTCTGCAGGGGTCAATTAAGGTTTGTTTGCCCACTTTTTTACTCTCTGACTTATTTTGATAAACGTTTCCTTTTTCTGCACACTCAAAAATACATTCCCATCATTATTGTGAAAGGAAACTTTGCTTTCTGCAGTCATACTAAAAGGGATCTTTGGCGCAAAAGATATTAAACAAGGAATCTAATTGGTTATTGTATTGCAATCTAGTTGGTGCTTGTATTGGACTCTGACAAGATCTATTTATTATGCTGCTATTATTATCGTCGGGTTGTTAAGCTTGTTTATCTTGTGAATTTTGCGTGAAATACATGCCAAGCCACAGGCGAGGTGAACGAATAGGGGAAACGAGACACATGTGTGGCTTGCAATTGTCAGCCTGTCTCACGTCTGAATCTCAGGCTATGCAAATTTATAAGGATGGAAATATCGATATGGCCTTGCGTCCGACCATATAAGTATATTCTTTTGTATGAGACGAGGGAATTACGTAAAGCGGTATTCTTCTATTTGTAAATGTAAAATAACATATCCGGAAATCTACTTCACACACTATACCTAAATACATTCTGATCTAGTGATTTTCAGGATTGCCCCTTTACTATTACACGAATCCATATCATTAGAGGAATAGTTACTGAAACAAACGATACCGTAATTAGACGTATACCCCAATACGCAGCATTAAAATGGTATTCATTAGCGAAGACTTAGCTACAATAGTCGCTCTACATTGCATTCGAGTTGGCTCGGGATTTCTAACAACAGTCAAAGTGCGGAGAACTCACATGTTTGCGAAGCGTGTGTTAGGGCCATCCCCATGCGCCCATTGAACTTTACTCCACCTTCCGAGACATCGCTATCGACGATCCCTGTACAAGGGATATTTCCCACAAACTCGTATATTACATATTAATATTGATTTCCTTTTCTTGCTCATAATATATCAGTAGTTCTATTTTTGCCAAGTGTTCACAAATAGATTGGCAGCGCACAAAACACACAACACATTCGGCTACAAAGTCACAGGTAAATAAATAACTGGCTTGGATATTTATCATGATAACAGATGTAGATCAAATGGCTCATGTTTATGAGACACTCCATACTATCGAGTCTAAGGTTCGCGGTCGGCTGAACGTGTCATTCACTGCATCGCTAATTGGGAGGTTTTAGGAAGGATTGGTAACCACCACATCTCTAATGAAAATATCATCCTCTTACCATGCACCAGCTCTTCTGAATGATTATCAAACAATCAATGTCTGATGTCAATAATTTCTAACAACATCATATGTCAGTGTGTTTCAAACTACTATCTTCCCTTCTAAGCCTGCTAACACGTTGTTTCCGTTGTAAATATGTAACTGCCAAGTTTATTTTTCCTGAGCTTGGCAAGCCATGGATTGCAGTATAATTTTCACAGTAGTTGCAACATTGTCGTGAATTACCATTTCGATTTTTCATCGAGCCATTCTTTGGATAGTGTCGAAATTAGAGCATTATTAATTGAACGGCTTCTGATAATACGTAACATGTTAGGGTATGTTTTCTGATCAGATGGCTTATGATCCACTGTTCCGATCTGTGCCATTAAGAAAATGTCTTCTGGTTTTATACATCCCCTTGGAACGTTGGTTGAGCAACCACCATTACATGTTTCATCGTCAGGCAAATACCAACAATCTTATGGTGAAACTTCGCAATGAACACAAACTTGCGCATATTACCGACCAAAGATAACTACCAATAACAGGTCACAAGCAAAATACGCGTATATGACAAGATTGAAATTATTCACATTTTTCCGTTTTATTTTGATTAAATGTATGAAACATGCCTACTAGCATGCCATGTTTCGTTGGACATGCCTCCTATTACTAGATAGATAATTCATTTGCTGTACGGATTATTTTGAATACGCGCATCTTGTCAATTAATTGACTGAGCAGTTAATTTCAAACACATAAATCTGCAGTAACATTAACAAAATTGAGCCTAGTCAATTAAAAACTTTTTGCCAGACGACTAGCAGAAATTTTTACTTTATTTTTGTTGGTAGCATTAAATTTATATTTTCTTGACCTTTAGATATAGTCTTGCCAAGCGAATAAATTCGAACATATGATTTAACTACCCTAATTCAATATGATAGTTAAAAAAAAGCCTGTATGTCAAAAATTATGCTAATAAATACGATAACGGTATTGAATACACATCTATAGATACTTTGACAGCAGTCATCTGATAGGTTCAAGCGCGTTGAACGTGTGATTCATACTCTTTTATTTTACAAGAAAGAACAAATGCCAAGTTAAATTAGATCCCACCCTGGGTGAGGCGGGCTGCTGTAAAAAAGGAAATAATATTTAATGGGGTCCGTATCATTTAACCGACAATCATTTCACCGACAGTTCATTTCGCCGACAATTAATTACCTAAAAAGGATAATTTTAAAATAATGTTGGTGAACATTTGTTGGTGAAATGATTGTCGGTTAAATGATTGCCTCCCATTTAATGACCGCACACCGGTACTCGTTAGTAAATTCCACTTTAAAAAGATGTCTCGTTAATTAGGAATCAAGAAGTAATATTTCCCACGGCTTATTATCTCCCCATTAATTAATTAATATACGTATTATTATTACTTATTAATGTTATTTCGGCATGTATATAACGCGGTATTTACTTTGTGCTGCCGTATCCTCAGCTACTTGAAATATGTTTCCCAGGTTACTCTTTTTAGTAATATAAGACTCGAATGGTAACATACTTTTATTACATGTTATGACTAAACGATTGAAGCGAAATTCCAATCTAAGGCTGGAGTGAGTAGTCCGCATTTTGATAAATATTTCTTTACGAGGTAAGAGACCGAGTAATGGGTTCATTTGCATCTTTCTCAAGTTTTCCCGAACTACCTTTTATGTACACGATTCTACCATCTTCACTTGTCAATGAAAATTCCAATACCTCCCATCTTTGATCGTAACCTCTACGTACCGAATGAAAATGAACCCTGCCCTTTCCTGCAGCAAGTTTTAGCAGTTAGAGTTGCATTGAGCGATAAATAAGAGACACCGTGTAGGATCAATCTAACCTTTGCTTCCTTTGACATCATAACTTATATTAATCTTCCCTTTAAGATGGTTTACAGATCCAGAAATCCACGGCCATGATGAGGCAAAGTCGATGTTGTCTCCCAAGACTTCTTTCGCCTCTTGATCGTATCTCACATGGAAAATCGAATTCTTTACGATGCTAGATGCCTGTCGTTGATGATTAAATGCGATCGTGATAAAAGCCGCCCAAAAAGATACACCGACCAAACCAAATGCTATGTATTTTGGGGTGTTATTTTTGATTTCAGGAAGTGGTCTTGGTTTTCGTATAGTCCTTGTAGACGTTGGAATTTGTGTTGACATTAAACGTATAGGTATTACATGTCTGTAATTATATTGCTGATAATTGCGAAAGAAGACTTTTGTTGAGTTAGAAGAACCTTGTATGATTCGTCTCAGAGGAGAGGATAGACAACAACCAGACATTGCAGGCGAGAAGCTTTTGGATTCCAGCCGTCTGAGAAGGTTTTTGCATTTGTGTAACTCGATCTGATATGCATTTCCGGATACGGAAACGAGATGCAAATTATTTAAACGCGTATACGTTTATGCCAACAAATGTATCTACTCATATAAACCCCAACAAGTAATCAGCGTTATTATTGTTGATACAAGTAACGATTTAAATTCTCCATAAATCTATGGATAATTGCGGCCCAAATGTGAGCGTTAAAAGGATGTTTTACCGCAATTTAAACCTCGTTTATCGGAATAACAACATGCTAATGTGCCCACTTTAGGCAGTTTGTGTGGGTTAAATATGTACACGCGGCGGAAGAACCAAAGCAAAACCCAGTCTATTAAGGATACGACAAACAGTTTGATTTAACTCTTTAGCTGTTTTTTTTAACGTGGTTATGCTTAATGATAACTCAAATTGGTAATAATTTTCGGAAGACAATTTTCGCGGGCGACCAAGTCAATAATGATATTGTACAAAATGCATAATTGTTGGTACAATTTTATTGTCTATAATTGTTGATTAGATCCATTTACGAGCGGCTGAGAATGACCATAAAAAAACTTTTTAATTAGACGCGTCAACTTTTATCACCTTTTTATAATTGATACACTCTTGCTAGTGTCTATTACCGACAGCGAAGCTAAATCAATATCTAGCTATGTTTAAGCTGACACTGGAATATCAGACAGACTAGAAAAAATAGTTCAACTATCGGTGTCATTTTTCTCTATTGACGTAATTAGATAATAGCACAACATTTGAATGAGAATTTTATATCTTTATAATAGGAAATATAGAGAATTGCTGGCTACGCCTTACGTGTGACCAAGACCGCGTTAGAATTAAATTTGCGAAACCTGTATTTCGGAAGCTATAGTGATAGATTATATGTACGTCTCATCATAAGCCAATAACAATCGTGAACAAGAGGTGAATATTCCTAATCAATTTAAAAATCAGCGGTTTTTGTAACTGTACTGATAATTTGTTAGATAACGAATCATTTCAGAATATAAGAACTACTCATTTACATGTAATAGTATATGAAATACAGGAATCGAAAGTGATTAAATACACTGGCCGTCATGTGAATAACACATAACGATAATTAGGAATTGTTTACAGTCAATGCTGGTTATAACGAATTCTACGGGACCAGAGAAAATATTCTTTATAAGCAGAAATTCCTTATAACGAAGGTCACTTTTTATAGCTAAGATGATGACTATTTATAATTGGCTTAGAGAAAATATTCGTTATAAACCGATCTTCGTTATAACCGAAGTTCGTTATAGCCAGCTTTGACTGTACTTGATGATTCAGATTAGCATCTGAATCTGAATGTTTCCTGATCACAGATTATGATGAATATGATGAAATGAAATGGTTTGGAAACTACGAGACATCCCGTTAGCGCTTAATAATAGAGAGAACGGGGGTTGACATGCAAAATGCCAGGGCGTAGGCCTTAGTATTAGAAGGACTTTATTTATACGAAATGTTATTTATCCCTAAGTAATTTCCTTATTAGAACAGAAAACCTTTAATCTTGGTAATGTTGAATAATTATTCGTGACTTTAACGCCCGCAGTAGTTTTAATCTGCAGTAGTTGACGTAATAATAACGTGGTAATCGCGTGTTTCAATCCGGCAATATCACGTGAACTCTAAAACCACAAGATGACGCGCTTTACGCCTTTACCTTGCAAAAGATAACAAGCGGACTTTTACAAATGGCATACGACACAAGCGCCCAAAATTTTTTCTCCGTTCCGAGTTTTGTTGTGTAAGCACGAGTGGCGAGGGACGAAGAACAAGTTCAAGCCGCTCTCGCTTCAATTAGGAGGCGACCTTTTGATGCGCTGGTCGCATCAAGTATTCTTATCGTATTTTCTTGGCTAGCCGGTGCTATTCCTGCGGGTCAGGGATACTACCAACCATATATTTTATTCTTTTTTCCACAACTTTTATTATAGGTCTACATCTGGTGTACTGTGACTGGCAGATAAGCCGTCACTTTAGCGCAAAGCGCCGGGCTTATTCGAGGCGCCTCGAAGATTATCAGCGGTGGAGAGACCTGCCAAGGTGGGATGAAACGAGGTTTCGCGCTGGCATTTGTATAGCCAGCGAATGCGTCAGGGAGAAAGGGAAAACCGAAGACAAATAACTATTCATTGGATATCGCAGCGTGAGGAGCATATCGCTCCTCAAGCTTTCTATGAAAGAGAGTGGAGGCTGGAACTTAGTCTCAGGGGCTTCAATATGGGCAATGAGCCGCCCGGCGGACTACGTCTGACACTAATTATGGAACTGCTCGTCTTTTTTCTCGAATTTAACCCGTTTGATGTATAAGAAGCATGCACTTGCAATACAAAGCGTTCGGGAAACTTATTCGCTGCAGGTTGTGTTCCGTAACGCTGCAAAGACGTCCTCACCCTATTCCACCGTGGGGTTTGAGGGCGATTAATGCTATGAATAGGTTATTTCTAAGAAATAGATGCCTCGGGGAAACCATCCTCCTCAACGAGGTAAGATAAATAAACTTATTAAATTATTTATTCGCTTTTTGTTTTTTTTTTTATTTAAACAAGTATTATTTTTTCTCAATTAGGGATGTCCCCTTCCCGTGGTCGATTACCCACATAGAGGACTAGGGCGAAAATCCGTTATAACGTGATAACGGATATTCACTATAACGGACGAATTTTCTCGGCCCGCTAAACTGTATAAACGCGCACAGCTAACACGTTCATTTTCTCGTAACTTGACAACATGGACCAAGTTGACTGGAGATTTGCTGCTCAGTATACGCGAGATCATCCTACAGCTACTGATGAGGAAATAAAATAAGACGCGACAAGATAAGCAAGCCATGAATACACGTTTATTGGAGCAACGGGGAGAAGAGTTTGAATACTGTTACTGGTTTTGCGAAAGAGAGAGGCAGTTGGGCGTTATTGGCTGGATCGTAGAGACATTACGGGGTTCGTAGCAGTAATGGAGAGAACAGTTGGAAACGCATTACAAACACGTATTGGGAGAGTATAGAATAGAGCTTAATGGTCAGCAGAAGGTAGTTGAAAACGCATTACTGGGCGTTTATTTCAAATTCATTCCGATATTTTCTTGTCGCATTCGTTATATCCCTTCCTACATATATTCATCCGTCGTGGATAAGTTGACACTACATTTTTCTGTATATTGCATAACATTCGCTTTATCCATATTCGTGTCCCTCCATAGCCGTTGGTGAGTAACCTTCATATTCCAAACGTACCTTTACAAGCTATTCATTATTTCGAGGCTCATGACTAGGTGGTGCTTTTCCTCTTGCTGTGCATTTTTTTAGCGACCAGAACACAATCGTCTTTTTTACGTTACTTGGATGGTCTTGATCTACAGCTACGGGGGAGTAGAAAGCCCCGCAGAATTCCAATCTCTGCAGACCAGATTTCCTGCTTAGGCGAATCAGTTTCTTGATTTACCTACTGGGTTGCCCACTAATATGAATACATCGAATGTCAAGAAACTGCTAATCCGAGAATGTAATGGATTTATTGGTGCTTTACGGATTTCTGTTGATGCTCTCACAACAAGATTCACCAAGGACCTCCTCCTTCTGAAACAGATTTGATTACATATTACCTATCAGATAGTGTCGTGCAAGATGTTTTGGTAGTCAGCATTCAGGACCAATCAGTCAGGTGCTCAAGAATGCACTTATCAACTTGGCAGAATTTTGCGGCGCCGGAATGGTAACGCGTCTTTGACGTTGCCGTGCGACTGCTTCGCATTTAATAATACCGTACCGTTACCCTTACGGGACCCGTACGCGTACAGTTACTGTACCGTATTCACGCTGCGTTACCTATGTGGAGCGAAAACTGTCCCTTGCATCTGTGCATCCAATTAAAAGGGTGTGTCCCATCCAAATACTATGAAACTCCGATCCCGCAAATGCTTATCAATAATCTTAGATACTTTTTTTTTGGATTATCCGTATATTGACGCACAATTCTGGCTACATCCTCCCTACTTCCTGATCCTCGGAATAAAGCTAAATGTGAGACATTCTCGCGAATTATTTTAAGAGTCTGAGTGTATTTCTGGCTTACATACACCCGTCGACAATCATCAACGCCCGTCCTTTTGGCTTGCGTGCTTCTGACAGGCTGACATTTGTAGTTCGAATATTTGCACGTTTCACTTTAACGATTTCGTATAAAGCGTGTATATTACAAAACCAAACCTTTTCCACCGACATATCAAACTTTCTCAGCCGGCATGAAGTTTCAAGTCCAACGACGCCAAGTGAAGATAATACATGACGGACGACATGATGGAACTTTACGCGCAACCATAAATTCTCTCTGCATTTGAAAAGTATGGTGCTGTTGGGGCCCATACGTAAAATATTTTGCGTCCAAATATTTAAAGTTGGGAACTTGTCCCCCGAAAAGCCATGGCCGGCTGTGTGAGAGATGTTAAAACCATTTTTGTTTAAAGGTCACCCATTTTAATTTACACTTGAGCGAAATCCGCTCTTTAAATCGTTTATGCCATCCATTGGCTTTTTTCTTCTGACTATTGTTAATGCGTTCTTTTTTCCTTAATTTTGTTACCGCTAATGTAAGCATAGATATATTATTGTATTATGGAAATGGTTTTGTAATAGTATTCATGTGATAGTAGGAATAAGCTTATCAAAACAAATAAATGTAAAAAATAACGATTTAGAGAAAAGAAATCACAGTCGAGTGAATGCCAAGCGTAAATATAGTGAATATTGAAATGAGCAAAAGGATGGCGAGTTTCTTTTTCTTTTTCGTCCCTCTTATCTCGGCTAAATAGTTATATATAATCTGATTGCAAAGTTCCATACAGTCATTTATTTATTATATTTATTTACAGAAATAATATATTATTATTGCTCTTGATTTGGTAAATAACGATTAAGCTGGTTCTGGAGATTTTCTATTAGATTTCTTATTAGGTCTCGTTCCTCGTTTGAACGACCATTCTCTTCAATATACTCTTTAGCCGCACCCAAAATCATGTCTATCGTCGTATATGGCATCCAAGGAGTTGAAGTTGGATAGTCTTCAGCCTAAAAAAAGAGTGAATGAAATTAATATGCTAAAGTCGCATTCCCGTTCGTATTAGCTGCTGTTGGAAAAAGTCTTACCATTGCAAAATATTCAATCATAAATGATGCTGCCTCCAATAAATAACCATGCTCCAATAATAATCGTACATAATCCTTCGGGTTATATTTCTACAAATGCGGATAATTATTAGTAATCATATATTATCAGCTTTTCCACTCGGTCTAAATCTTACCTTATAGAAATTTGATAACCATGGAGGAATCTTTGTGTTTTGCTTCGACGTTAATATGACTTCCAAGACGGCATTTCTGTATCGTCCTTCCGTTTGATCTATTCTGTCATATTCGTCTATGAAATATTGTAAAAATCCCCATGCACGTGTCACTTCTGTACCGTCAAGGAGACTTGCCCATTGATTAGAATATATCCAATCGTAACTCCTACTACAGAACAGCATAGAACAGAACAACGACAACGGAATATAAGTATTGGGCACCAATTATTCAATACTGAAAAATCAATATTATAACTTACTCTTTTTGAGGTGTCCCAAATTCTGATATTAACATACATTTGTATGTTATACTTCGGAATATGTCAGTCATGTCCTGATTAAATGCCTTGGCAATGGTTGCTGCTGTTTCATATTCCTGATATTCTGTACACGTTGCAATGACCTGTTTAACGTTCATGGGTCCAGCAGCAGCTCCTATACGTTTTCCTAGCTTCAGCTTGGCCATTATGAGCTCATATTCCCGCCTGATTTCCTCAATAACAACCAAATCCGTTCGAGCACTAGATGGATCGATTTCCATTGGCAAAGAGACATCAATTTTCCGCCGTTTGGGGTTCGAAACTTCGACTACTCGGTCCGAATTAATTTGGAACCATGCATTTCTGTCAGTAAGCAACTCGAGAGAATTAATAGCAGCAAGGTAACTTTGTGCTTGTTCTGTTGCCATCTCAAAAAAGTTTGTGGAATTTGTATTATTCCTTCCAATTCTCTGCGCGTTCTCATACATAACTTTTGCTGCTTGCTTGTATTTACCGCTTTGAATATAGCTTGCGTGTACGATTTTTGCAACATGCAAACCAGCTAATGACGCATCTTCTATTGCGCTCTCCAAGGTCTTTTCAAATATCCGTTCACGTACGCCAACAAACCCCATTCGATGTAAGCTCTCCACTTCTTGTTTTTTAATCATATCGATGATCAAGCATCGAAGACCCTCTTCTCGAATTTTTTGGTCCGGATTTGACTTTGCTGCCCAGTATGCTTGTTCAAAGGCGTTCGAAGATAATCCGCGATTGAACATACGTTTCCATAACTGTACAGAACGTGCATGACCTTCCGGAGTGCTTTTCTGCATTTCATTGAAGGCATTCAAAGCTAATTTGCAATATCTTATGACATACAAATCTTGCTTATGATTATCGAACAGATCAGCAACATGAACATAGAATGCAGAGATGTCGGCATAGACTGTATCCTGAGATCGTATTAGTGGCCTGCCAGTATACGGCGGCACGGGCAAGTTACCAACTAATAAACAACAAATTATTAGTTAAACATCAGGTACACACATAAACCCGCCCGTACGTATATATTATCTCTACTTACCATATCCAGATGCTGCCTTGTCAAAGTTAACTTTTGCGTTGACATAATCTGCCTTTCTTAGGTAAAGTTTGCCATAGAGATACATTATGGCAGGCGTTCTGTGCAAAAAAGCGAGGTATTTTTCAAGCAAGCTTGCATATCCAGACACTTCAAAAACGTCTCCAAGCTTGACAAATGCTTCGGTCGTCATTACAGTAGGTGGTATATGGTTATCCAACATTTCTATCTTCCTTAGAAATTTATGAACCCCAACAAGCAGAAGAGCTGCCGCATCCTTAATCACAGACACAGAAGATGCAGAATAGTGGTGATGAAGAAGAGATTGTATCAAACTGTGGCGAATGAATTGTGAGGCATTGCTAGTAAATTTTCTTTGGTTGTAAAAATTGAGAACCGAAAATTTCTCAATTATGTTATCTTCCGAA